CGGAGGGGGGGGGGGGGGGGGGTGTTAGTCTGTTCAGGGGCCTGAGAGCTGCCTTGACACCAGGCAGGGTTACTGGTGCCCTGGAGCCCTGAGGTCTCTGCTGAGCCCTGCAGCACTGGGCACTGCACCGATCACCCCAGGGGGGTCTGGCACTGGCAGAGAAGGCTTGACCCAGTCTCTTAAGTCTCCAACTAGCACAGGGCTGGAGACACTTCAAACAGCCCCTGGATTCATAGTTTCATAGTTGGTAGGGTCGGAAGGGACTGGAGCAGATCAAGTCCGACCCTCTGCCATGGGCAGGAAAAGATGCTGGGGTCGTGTCTATCTAGCCTTTTAAAGACCCCCAGGGTAGAAGCGAGCACCACTTCCCTTGGGAATTGGTTCCAGATCCTAGCTGCCCTGACTGTGAAGTAGTGCCTCCTGCTATCTAGCCTGAATCTACTCTCAGTCAACTTATGGCTGTTATTCCTTGTTACTCCCAGTAATGCTTGGGGGAACAGGGACTCTCCCATTGCCTGCTGGTCTCCCCTGGCCAGTTTATAGATGGCCACCAGGTCCCCTCTCAGACTTCTCTTGTGGAGGCTGAACAGGTTCAGGTCCCATAGCCTCTCCTCGTAGGGCCTGCCCTGCTGTCCCCTGATTGTGTGAGTGGCCCTCCTCTGGACCCAGGATTGACACATGATGTTTGGTGCCTGGGGCAGTCCTCTCTCAGCTTTACCCCCTAACACCAAGGTCGCAGGTTCATTCCCCGGTTGGACTGGATGATCTCTCTGTCATTTCAGCGCTTAGCAGTAGCAGCTTGTGCAGGCAGTGTGAACTATGGAGTGCACGGCATTCTGGGACTTGTAGTTTTTTGGGGCAGAATGTTCACCCCTCCCCCCGTTTGTCTTTTGTAGCCAAAGCCCATGTCAGGGGGTTAAAAAAAAACTGATTTTGGCAGCAAAAAAATAGGAGCAATTCCCATCAGCCCCAGCAGCAGAGCATGAGCGCACTGCAAAACTACAATTCCCAGAATGCCTTGCACTTCCAGACGTGTTACCCATGCTGCTGCAGTGTGGCCAGGAAGTACAGGCTGTTTGTAGGGGGGCAGCTCCTTCTGGCACCTCTCCTTCCCAGCTCCTTGCACCCTCCCCTTAGGCAGTGCCTGGGGTCCGTGCCCCGTTCACCCCCCCACGTGGCACTACTGCCCAAGGGGATTGTTGGGGTCATGCTCACCGCCTGTTTTCCCTGGGAAAGTAAGATAATCACCACAGTCCATCCCCATGCATCAGGGCAGCAACCAGCAGCGGTTAGGAAGGAAGCCTGGCTTTTGTTTCCCAGCTCCTCTGGAGGAAGCTGGCTGTCTTTGAGTGAAGCTCCAGCCTGGCCCAGCCGGTCCGAATCAGCCCAGCAGCCTGGAAGCTGCAGTAGACCGAGAGACACAGCAAATGGGCCCAGACAAAAGCTTTGGGGAGAACCCACCAGACGGGATGTCGATGCTGGCGATGGGGACGGTGACCTGCGCCAGGGTCTTGAGGATGCTGCCGAAAGGCTCCCGCACGGCCCCCTGGAAGCTGAACCCGAAGATGGCGTCCACGACCAACCCGTACAGCTCGTCAATCAGCATCGCCTGGAAGCAGGGGCAGGCCGTTAGGGGGTGGCAAGGCCCAGGGTCCCAGCCCCCCATGCACAGCCTAAGGGATCCCAGCAGCTGGGCCCGACTCAGATCCCACACAGGGTAAAACCAGAGTCGCTCCAACAAAGACAGTAGGTTCACAGTGCATCAGGCCAAGCAAAGCCGGGGTGATGAAATAATTACAAATTTTTACTTCAGTCCCATTTAGACCAGCGTAAATCAGGAGTAAAGCAAAGGAGGTCATGGCAGGGGGAAGAAGGAGACTCAGACCAGTGTCTTTGGGGAAGAATAGGGTGTTGTCTGGCTCCCCCAGCATAAGTCCAATAATTTAGCACTACATCTCCTGATTTACCTGCTTGCTAAACGCTCTCCTTGTTCTCCAGGTGGTTTGGGGCAGCGATCGAATGCAGGGGACCCTCAGAGGGCCCGGCTGATTAGCAACAAATCTAAAACATTTAACTTATCCCTACAACCCGTGCAGCCCCCCGTCACAGCTCAGAGCCCCTTGGTGCTCGGTGGTGTACAAACACGGCCCCCCAAGAGATGGACCTGGCAGCCTCGTGACTTGGTAATGTTGGCAGCTGGCTCAGCCTTCTGCTGAGGACCTCGGAGCACGCCACAAATACTTAATGACTGAGGCTGGGGCTTATGGGGGTGGACTTTGGATAGGCACAGCCCCTCTGCCCTGCGTTTCTGGGTGTCTGGAAAACAGCCGGGTATGTAAGGAAGGCGCAGAACCTACCTCGGCCGGGAACTCAGGCAGGAAGGGGATGTCCATTTTCTGGCACTGAGTGGTTAGACCCTCAAACAGGGCTTTGCTGGGGCGCTTGGGGTAGTATACCGTTGGCTCGTAGCCCTGCCAGGACAGCAATGCAGCACGGGTAAGGACACTTGGGAACAGGCCAAGTCTCAGCACAGACCCATAAACTAATACCCACTGGAGGGAGAAGCATCAGCTCGAGACAGATGACTTGAGTCTGGGATAACTCAAACTCGTACCCACCCAGGCGGTCTCCCATCCAGGTACCAGCCAGGCCTGGCCCTGCCTAGTTGCACAGATGAGGCTGGCCAGGCTATAAGCCCTCACCATTGGTACGTGCCCATTAAGAGACTCACAAACAGTTTCAGGTGCCTCGCACAGACCAAACCGTCGCCTCCATTGTTCCCAGGGCCGCACACGACAAGCACGGTGGGCTGGGGTTTGGTGAAGGAGCCGGGCGGGTAGGCCTGGAGGGGATAGGTTAAAACAGCAGGAGACAGAGGCAGTGCTAGGAGAGATGCAGCTATAACCCATTCCCACTACTGTTCTATGTCCTGTTGACAACTTCCGCCCCAGAGGTGGCTGCGTGTCAGGGGTTTTGGGGGGTGAAATGTTCCTAGAAGACCCCCCCAATGTTTTTGTAGCCTGGTTCCTTCTTTGTGGCTGCTTCGTGCAGGCCTGAAGTCACCTCCCAGTGATCTCAGCTGGCCTGACCCCTTGCTCTGGCAGTGCCTATATAACGTGGGAGCATTAACACCCAACCAGGCTGCCTTCAGGCCACGTACAGAGCTCCTGCCTGTCCCCGGCAGGTCACAGCCACACTGGGGCAGCTCCTGGCCCTGAGAGCAGGGACAGCTTGGATTGACGGGTGTCTGATGCTACAGCACCCACCTTGGCGATGGCTGTGGCACAGCTGAGCCCCGCCAGCTCCATGAGTTGGTCGACGCTGAACTTGTATTCGGTGAAGAGCTCCTGGTCGATGGCCTGGGCTTCCTGCTGGCTGTGGGGGGAACCGACATCTTGAGGCTCTTGGCTTTGCTGTGCGGGTGAGTCAAACCCTGCATCCTGCCCGCTGGGGGTGTCCTGTGGTGGGGGTTGGGCACGGTATGCAGGATAGCCACACCGAGGCTAGCCCTACAACTGCTGCCTTCCTGGGCAGGGCTGGTCCTGTCCCGCCTGCTGCACGGGGGTGAGATCTTGTGGGCCCCACATTTCAGTGGGGGGCATGAAGCAGGGAAACGGGCAGAGGATGGCAGGGCAGGGTACGTCCTTCTAGGACAAGCCCAGAGCTTTCTACAAGGCAGGAGGAAATGTCCAACCTTCCCAGGACACGGAAACTCCCGTCTCCGGCTGGCCTCATGCTCCCAATCCCACCAGCCTCAAGCAGCTCCCACCTGTGGGGCCCAGTTCCCAACCCTGCCCCATCTCCTCCACACCCTCCCAGTTCCAGACTGGGAACCGGACCAGAGTGGGGAGGGGGGACATTCAGGAGCCCGTGGACGCCCCAGCCTGGAGCAGGCAAACGCCAGGCCTTGCCGGCTGCCAGGTGCTAGGGCCCCTCGCCCAGGTGCAGCCCAGCAGTGCCTGGGGGGCTGTAAGTTTGAGTCCCCTCCGCTCTGCAGCCAGGTTTGGCTCCCAAAGGCAGCACTGAGACCAGAGCGGGGGGGATGGGATGCCCCTTCCCTAGAGTAGCATCCATCCCTTCTGTCCTTCCCCCATGCACTCTCCTTGTGCACCCCCAGCCAGGATCTCCCGCTTCCCCCATGCACCCTCCCCTTGCACCCCCTAACCCAGATCTCCCGCCCCCCATGCACCCTCCCCTTGCACCCCCTAACCCAGATCTCCC